CCCCACTCCCACCCTCGCCCCCCATATCAAAGGTGAAAAAATCAAAGAAGAAGAGGAAACGCCCAACCAAAGAGAAACGGTTAAAGAAGGTAAGTATTTTGTTTTAATCTTATGTTTGTTCGTACATTAATTTTTGATGTATTCAATGCCAACTTACTAACTGTCTGTATGTACCACTTCGGTAGGGTCACTGGGAGTAATTTCGTTTTCCTAATCTATTTATTAGATGAATTTTTCTTTATTAGGGGTGGAAAAATTTCTTCCACAAAAATTGAGTTTTCTTGCTACAGTACGCAATCTGAAAGAGCCAATTTTTCTGATTTGCACTTCTATTTTAAAAGCTTTGTCCCATTTGGTGAATGAATAGTTTGCATTTGTTGAAATGCTACTAAAGTCGCAAACTCCAAAACAAAACCACACAAAACCCTATGCTTTGAAATGGCCTCTATGTGATTGTTGATCTTACATCATTGGAGTTCTGATACATTAGCATTAGTGTGAAAGTATAATGAACTCGACTACAGCAACAATCTCATCAAAGCTGGGGCGGCAATCTTTATCAAAATGGGAAACTTTTATCTTTGGGTGGAGACAGCCACAACTGTCTAATAATAGAAGTCCTTACAGACAGACTCTGTGGGTTGGCATGGAACATCTATAGGTTTTATTTAACATTTTGTTTTATTTGTTTACAGCGCAAGAATTGAATACAAATAAAATAATTAAAAACAATAAAATAATTTAGAATTCAAATTTTACTGTTTTCTTCAAATGCAAATACTTCACCTGTCGCATCTATTGACACACTTCCAGTAGAAATAAACTTGGTGTCCTTTTACAGAAGAAATAATTTTATTATATCTTGATTGAAGACTACTGAAGACTTTGACCAAGGAATGATGGCCTACTATAATTGCTAAAGAATTGTGAGGAACAGTGAAATTTTCTTAGAATCTGTCTGGGACATTGAGCAAATCAATCAAAACATTTTACAAATCAAATTTACGATCAAACCAGGGAAGGCTGTGTTATTGATGTGCCTTTAGTGTCTGTAGGAGAACAGAATTATTTGCCAATCCCAATATTACAATTGAGATACTGTTGCACCCTCATTTTATTTCCTCTTGCTATTACTTCTCCGTCCTAATCTCTCTTGTACATAATTTTCTTTTTAACAATAGCTGCCAGAGAGTTTAAAAGTGAAAAAACTCCCTTGTGTTAAATACATTGAAAATTTCTTCCAGCATAGGTATTATGTCAATACGTTTTCCTTTCCATGAAGGGAAAGGAAGAAGTAGAAGTTATCAAGTACACCGTGCAGTAGCAGTATGAAGTGAAGTGATCTCTATCAAACGCAAACTGTTCTAGTGAATCATTATCTAAATCAATATTTGTTCCAGAGTCTACATATTGTTTTGAGCAACTTACGTCATGAATAGCAGCCACCCATCCAAGAAGACTTGGGATGCAGTCAACAAACACAAACTGGCCACTATGCCTCAGAGGGTAAGAGAATTTTTGCCTTTATATCATCTGTACTCACTCATATTCAATATATCTTGTATCAACGTGATGAGTCAGTTTGAAGTTTACAAGTTTAAGCTCCAAAACTCTTCGTGATTGTTGCCCTCGTAGAGCTTGCCATTAGGGCCTTGAAATTCTGATGCGATTTAAATTTTATGCTAATTGTTGATTGATGAACATAGAGAAAGTTAAAGTCTTGAAATTCAAACGGCGTCATTTCCAATTTTCAAGTCTTCAGTCTGATCTAGCTTACAATCCTCATAGATATTTTATAATCACCAAATTACAAATATTCTTGCAAGGATCTACGTCATTGATGCATGACAATTAGTGACGGTGACCCCTGACCTCTTGCTACTTAGTAGCAGTAAAGCAGAGCATTTGGTTTATTCGTTAGTTTTGAACTTTTTGGTTTTGATTGATTTCAGGTTTGCTGAAGCATCTTGCTTTATTTAGAGCGTGTTCATGATACATTTCATGAAGGACACAGGGACTTTGATGATGATTTTTGTGCATTTTCTATAGCCTGATGAGTTTTGGATAGTGCCTATCTATTTGAAGACAACTTCTCAAGGTATGTACTTTTTAATATGATAGTAGTGCATTTACAAAATCAGGTAATACATGGCCATGACTTTTATATAAGTGACCTGACTCTAATGCGAGAATTATCGATCTAATCTTGAGTTGGACCTGAGCTCTTGAAGTTCCATGGTAAATAGGAAGCAATCCTTCAAATCTTTTTTGATTTAAATTTGTAATGATTTTGTCAATACTTGGCTTGATGAGCTGAAACAATTCTGTTTAACTGATTGTTATGCTCAACATGAACGATTTCTTTTGGACCAAATCTCTTCTGTGCCAGCATTCATTGCTTATTAGAACCAAGTCTTGCATTATGTAATATATGGGTTATAACCCATTTAAAAAAAATATTAACTGGGTGTTTTATTTTGAAAGTGCATACCAACCTCAAGACATTGAGAAATAAAAATTACTAATTATTTTGCAATTTTGTAATTTTTGTAAATACCCAACTGTAACTAATAATTATTTTCCTGCTCTTGTTTTCAGGTATGATACGTGCTGGCTGCAAGGATCATCGAAGAAGGAGGAGCAGAAGAGATACAAGAAAAAGATCGAGGAAGATGTATGTAGCTGAAGTTTCAATTAGCAACTGTGAAGAAGAACGAAGAGAGGCAAGCACAGGGAGACAACAACCAGAACAGAGGGAAAAGACTCACGAGTACAAGTGCAAAGTGTTGTCCTACAAGTTTTTTTTTTTTAACTATTTGGTTTTAAGACTGTTATTCAATACCTCTGTAGAATCTCTGAAGCTTCTTCTGACCTTTAAACTATATGGCCTTGTAATTTTCTTAATTTGTTCTTGATATCTGTAATTTTTAAAAGAGTACTGTTTTAATCTTTGGGTCTCAATAGACACAGAACCGTTGGTATCTACTCTGAACAGAACTAATTGGTTCTTTCACTAAAAGATATAATAAAAGACGGGGAACCGCAAGGTTCTGTCTTCGGATCCTATCTTTTTATAATCTATACAATTTCTATTAGGTCTATCATTAGACATATACTAGCAGAGTTTGTCCTCTATGTTGATGAAACTACAATTGCTATTCCTGGAAAAATCTTGGAAGAGATTGCAGAGAAAGCTATAAATGTCTTAACAAAAGTAGAAAACTTCTCTCGTCTTTAGGATTGGCTTTAAACTTAACCAGGACAATCTTTATGCGATTTAATTCTACAAATGAATCCACTCTCTCTCAATGTTAACAGTATTCCTATACAACAAGTGACTGTTAGTAATTTCGGGGCATAAATATTTCTTTAAACCTTAAATGGTGGTAACCATATGACTGATATATGTAAGAAGCTCAAAAAAAAGAAAAGAACAAAAAAAGGAATTTTCTATCTAATGCTAGCGGCTTAAAGTCTTAACAAAAATTCTTATAGCTATGTTTTTCATGCATTTATTCGATCACATTTAGCATATGGTATTATAATCTGGGGATCTGATGAGAAGCAGAGAACATCTCTTAATAAATTGTTTAGACTTCAAAAAAAGAACAATTAGAATGCTAAATGGTATCAAAGATTATTCAATGTCCTTTAAATAGTTTTTTAGAAATGATACGATTTTAACTTTGTCATGTCTATAATTGTATTTTGCCTCTATCTATGTTCCCTTGAAATCTACCTCGCTGATAAGATTCAATATTTCCTACGTATGACTGTTTTTTCTTATCTGTGATGTACCCTGTTCATTTCCTTGTAAGGAAATGTGAACCAATATACATAAACATAATTTAATGCAAGGAATTCTTAATTTACCGAATGTCTATGTACTCTATTTTAAATCTTCAGTTCTTAATTACTATGATCGTTTTCATACATTATCTGTAAATTTGTATGCAAGAGCGCAATTTGTTTGGAATAGAGGTGTAACTCCAGTATCATTGTATCGGATTGATTGAAATAAAAGAAAAAGTATAATTTGACTGCTATGTATTTTTCTGCCGCTCCAATATCGATTTCTCATCGTCTTTACTTCGTTTTGTAGCTTGTAACGCTTGTTGCACTGCTTCAATGATATCTATTTTTTTCTTTACATTTCACTTGAAAGTGGAACACTAAGTACTCAGCCCATGAAAAAGGGGAAAATAGAAGGTCTACTAGCTTGTGAGACATTACACAAAAAGAAAGCAAGGAAACAATTCTGATAACACTGGGTATGTTGACATAAAATATCGTCTGCTACATAATGTAAACAAAGAGAAACAGCTGACAGCTACGTTGTCTGCTTGATTGCATCTCTGCTTCAAGAAAATTCATAAACCCAATCTCAGCCACTGAAAAATTAACAGAAATATTGTTCATTTAAGTCTTTTGAACCTTCCATCGCTTTTAAAATATTAAAAGACCATTTTTGAACAGTTTTATTTTGAAAGAAAATCATCTTAATCAAAAAATGAGAAAAAAGTTCATCCTTCAAAAACAAAATATAATGCTTAAAAAATACTCATATTTCTGCAATTTATGGATTGAATTCCGTAAATTTAGCAATACAAAGATTTTCGAAGTAAAGATAAATGCGTTTCTAGACTCTGATGTCTCGTTATTAATTATCTAATTTGGTCCCTCAACGAGAAGAATTTTCGTGGCAGAGGGCTTGTGGGGTGGCGGGTCCGGACCCCGAAACTCCGAATTCGCCCAGGAAATTATCGTAGCCGGAGTGGACAGGCCCTGGTC